CCACACACACACACACACACACACACACACACAATGTGTTTCCCCCCCCTTATGTGCCCATCCCCCCACATGGATCACACCTGGCACACGCAATACATGTTCAGTTTCTATTCTTTTTATATTTACTGCAGTCTTTCATGCATACCAGTAGTCTGATACAATATTTACAGTTTGAAAGGGTGTTAAATTAAATTTGGTGATGCTTAATCAGAATCAGAATACCTTTATTAGTCCCACGGAGGGGAAATTTGCATCGTTGCAGAAGGAAAGAGCCACAGACAGCTTAATGTAAAAAAAGTACTAAGTTATGATATAATAAAAAATATAATAAAAAAACATTGTTGTGTTAATGTAAAAGCAGTTAAAACAGGACCGGTCAAATTTGACCGCGAACACCAAAGTAAGGGGGGGAAAACGAAGACAATTGAAGGGTTAATGCAAAATGTAAGGTTAATTACCAGCTTCTGATAAACTTACCTAGTGGACAAAAATATTGTTGAAGCAAGCTGTACACTATCAAAACAAGACATGAATAGGCCAATGTATATTTAAGATACTGTAGTATGTTGTTTACAGCAGGTCTTCTTTAGTCCACTCCTTATACCTTGCACGTGTTTGGAGAACATTTACAATTTCAGCCTGTGACGTTGTGTTTACATGCACACCTGAGTCTCATGTCTCCTCCCCAGAGAGTATTAGAGCTAATCAGCTTTACTCCGCAGGACTTCATAGGGATCTGCTAATCTAAAATGACAGACAAAACCAAACCGATGTTAGCTGTCGTTTGCCTGAGGAACCTATCATAGGAAACCCTCTATTCGGTCATGCTGGAACCAGAACATGGCCCTGTAATCCAGGAGGAGGTAGAGCACAGCCATGTGAGGTGTTGGGTGTGTGTGCTGAGCTGCCTCCTGCTCGCCTGTCTGTACGTTGGCAGTTTGTACATCTGGAGAAGCAGCTTACCCAGGTATACAACTAACCATCAGAGCTGTGGCTAGGCTGTTACCCTTGACTTTTAAACTGTTGCTATGTGTGTGCAGGGATCATCCCAGTGTGATAAAGCGTCGCTCTGCAAGTGTGTTGCTGGTCTCTGCGCTGTCACCTGTAGTGGTGAAAGCATGGATGCTCTGGGCTGATATCAGGGTGAGTACACATAAACAAAACATGCTGTTCCCATCATTTGATTCTTTAATTCTTCAGTCGGCCATAGCTCAATGCAATAACCAATATCCTAACAAACATCTGAGAATCCAACCGCCAATGATATGATCTGGTTAGTGCCACAAATGTAAAGCAATTGGAATTTGAGTTGAGCACTTTATTTCCATTTCATTCTTCAACAGGCAATACTAATGCCCCTTGAACCTACAACAAAACACACATCCCATAACTTTAAGCTTACTGATTATTCTAAATACATTCAACAAGCATATTGATCCTTTATCGAATGAAAATTACTGAGCACTGCAGGCAATAAACACCTCTAAGGAGTTATACTGAACAACTTTGTCGACCACATTTATATCAATGAAGATGGCCTGAGACAAATCAGTACTGTTCAACAGCATGACAAAGTACATCCTCCAAAATGTAACCCTTAAATTAACGCCTCTCTAAAACAGTTTGCATACAAACCAAACATAGCCTCCATTAATGTAGGATTTCTGGAATGATGTATTAGACTGCATTCGTTTTAGCTAGGTGCACCTAAACAGGAAAATGAGTGTTTGTACACGTATTAACTATGTACAATCTATACTAAAGCAGTACAGCACTAGCACAGTAGAGCCACATTCAGGTAGGAGGGCAGAGGTCGTAGACAGTCAAAATTAAGAGGATTCCATGTCTTTCTCAAGGACACTCCCCAAAGTGAACCCTGAGCGTCCAGGTGAAGGAAAGTGTCCTCACTCCGGGGGTCGTATTCACTATACATAAGTTGCTTTGTGAGGTTAAACCTGGGTTCACACGGGCTTAAATTTATAGCCACTTGAGGGTCAAAACTATGTTTATAAAACTACTTTGCGCTCCTCCAGGTCAATGCGTTCGTGTTGGAGTTGATGGGAGTCCGTTTGGAGGGTCTTGTTCCCGCAGCCTTCCTGCCGCTAATACTAACAATGGTACATCAGAGACACCCAACCATGAATAAAGCTTCAAGTACACAATGTTACTTCTTCTTTGCTAGATGTTTAAGACTTAGACTATATCTATATACAACCAATAGAGACAATTAAAAAATAGTAATAATTAGATTATGGAAAACGTTGTCACAGTTGATTTCAATATAGGTGTCAAAGACGTGGATAACGCACCAATTGCAGTGAGACATTTAAAAAAACAAAGACTATAATAAAAGCAAAAAAGTACATGAAAGAACATTCACCTTAAAAAACGACTTTTTCTACCATATTTTTCATAACCTGTTGAAGCTTTAAAGTCTGAAAATGTGTTCTGTTTAGTTAGTCTGTGGATCTATTTTCCTCTTAAAGCATTTTATTTAAGTTGCACTAAGTAGGTTTTGACATTTCAGAGATTACATTTCCATTTCCAAATCTTAACAGCATGGCTTTACAACCTCTATTAAATTCCCATGTGCATGTCTTTTTGATATACTTCCACTGGCTGTAATAAACAAGTGATTTTATCTTTAACATGAGGCATTTTATCTGGGGCCTCTGGTACACTCTGCGATGGACAACCCCAAAGGCTTCTCTGGGGAGCTGCAGTCCCTCCTAGGTGAGTTATGCTTTGCGTCTACTAAATGTTTGGTCGTGTTTGGAGAGTGTGTGCTTGCATTGCATTTGCTGTGTCAGTCATCAGGAGGCTTTATTCCCCCAGATGTGCAGGCCTGGAGGTGGTGTGTGAGAGATGCAGTGTGGCTCAGGAACCAGCTGGTGGCTCCAGTGACGGAGGAGCTGGTGTTCAGAGGGGCCATGCTGCCCATGCTGGTGCCCTGCACTGGACCCACCGCTGCCATCTTCATCGCTCCGCTCTTCTTCGGAGTTGGTGAGACAACTATGTTTTCTGATTGTAAACAACTCGTATTTACAAATGACCTTAATGTAAACAAATAAGGTCTGTAATGATATTATTATAACAGATATGACCAAATTATTTTGTACTTCGGAAAGATTTAAACCTTTTTGTCTGTTTTTGCCTTAAACATTTTAGCCCATTTCCATCACATCATAGAGCAACGGCGCCTCCACAAGGACAGTATGAGTATCATCCTCATGGTGTCAGGTCAGTTTATGTACAACACTCTTCTCATTTATGTTGTAATAATGTAGGAACATGAATTCAAATGAAGGTTCTGTCAATACATGTTGAAATGTGTTAGTCTGTCAACATTTTGAACACACTTTTTTGTAAATATCTCCACTGCAGGAGTGAGCAAATTCTACTAATGCAAAGAAGTAATCTCCGTAACTTTGTTTGCACACACACGCTTAGTGGTAAACAATTATATACACTGTGTTGCAAGTAAAGGTCAATTTTTCCAAATGTTACTGATATAAAAGGTATAAAGGTATTACCATCTTAAAGTTAAACAGTTAAAGTATTTATTCTTCAGAATGGCCCATTTCAGTATCATAAATATTAAAAATAGACTCAATTATCTATGTGTGAATATGTAAATAAGAAGCTTTTTTCTACTAGGCCCACAAGGGAGCTACATTTTACAAAGGGATACATCAACGTTTGCCTCAACCCAATGTATGATAGATTATTTGTTGAATATATTTGGTATTATCTATCTGAATCAAAATCACTTCCAAAACTGAGTAAAAGTCAAATATTTGCCTCTGGGATTTAGAAGTTAGTATTTAGTAGCACAAAAATAGAAATACTCAAGTAAAGAAGTAAATAATAACTTGAAGACCTGTTTAAAACTATAATATGATACTTTTCTCAAATACAATTAGATCCAATCCTTTTGATTTCACATTCAAGGTCATCAATTTGACTTATTTGTTCTATTCTTTTGCAGGGACGCAGTTCTTGTACACAACTTTGTTTGGTGCCTTCACTGCCTTTATATTCATGAGAACTGGTGAGAGATGAATGCACATGAACTTGTTAAGATATTACCTATACAGTACACAGCTTATTCAATCTGTAATGTTTTTTGATAGGTCACGTTGTGGGTCCAGTTGTGTGCCATGCGTTCTGTAACAGTCAGGGTCTGCCTGACCTAACCTCAGCCCTGCAACACCCCCAAAAATCAGCCATACTCCTCTCCTATCTGATGGGGCTGCTGCTGTTTCTGGTGCTTTTATTCCCTCTGACAGACCCCTTTTTATATGGTTTCATTCCCGTCTGCAGCCTGTCTGCCCCTGCAGGGTCTGCATGCTAGATTTAATTCAATTAAATATACTCCAGCTCTTAAAAAGAAAAAAATGGGGACTGGAAATTCATTTCGTGTTCAGTTTTCAAATAAAAAGTATTTTTATATTATATTACAGAATGTGTGTTCATTTATGTGTGTGTGTGTGTGTGTGTGTGTGTGTGTGTGTGTGTGTGTGTGTGTGTGTGTGTTTGTGTGCGTGCGCGGGTGTGAGCATGAGAAGAGAACGATTCTTGCACGTCAGACATTTCCTGCATGGTTGAAAAGCTTTCCTCCTGTATTGAAACACAACACCGGTACAACTCTGCCTGGCTGAGAGAGAGAAAGTGTGTGCAGCAGAGACAGAAAATCAGATGAACTGTGAAAGTGAACGAGTTAGAGTGGAGAAACGGTGAAGGAGACATCAGGAGAGACAGACACATCTGCAGACAGAGAGAGGCAGACAGACAGAAACACCGACTCAGAGGCCAACTAACACTCAAAGGGAACCAAAGTGGAGAGAGACGGATATGTAAAGTCACATTGTTAGGACAAATAAAGCTATGAAAGACAGGCTTGTGAGAAAAATATATTAAAGCCAGAAGCAACACAGGCAATGCCAACAGACTTTAACAGA